TTTCCCAGCTGGGGCTACATACATTTCAAGACACCTTTTTCCCCTGCTAGATAGTCAAGACAGACAGTTAAGCTTTCTTTCCCCCCCCCCAAGACTGTTTTGGGCTGTGGTTTTGGTTTTTAAGCTCCTTGCTGTATCTGACTACTTGGGACTCTGCATATTTCTTTTTTTTTTTTTTTTTTTTGATATCAAGGAATAAAAAGGCTCAAAGAAACTCTGAAACCTGCAATGCTTGGCAGATGTTGGCTGCTGTCCTGTGAAGGAAGGTGGTACATCACAGCTCAGCAGTTTCCAGCCTGTAGACTTTCCTTGGACAGTCTCTTGGTGGTCTGGGGAAGAGTGCCTGAGAAAAGTAAACTGGCAAACTCAGTACACCAGTGCCTTTTGCAATTTCTAAATTGGTCTATCTGTGAAGGGTCCATAAATCGGGAAAGGTTCACCACAGCCCTTACCAGTACCAAGGGCATCCCATGGTGTCTTGTCTTAATGTCCTGTACATTCCTTTACAAGATGACTTTGTTACTCGGCTGTCATTAAATAGCCAAGTAATAGTAAGTAGCATTTAGGTGGGGACAAAGTATCTGGCTTTTTTTGCCCCTGGTGAAACTTTGAGCTGAAGTTTGTTCAGTTGCTGGGACGAAAGTAGGATGGAGGAGGAGAGACTTTCCTGCAAGTTTTAGTGTTCTTGCATTTTTCAGGCAGGTGCTTGAAGTTGGTGAGAATGTCACCCCTCTCGTCGAAGCTTGTATGTGCTGGCTGGACCCGAGTACACGTTATTGTTGCAGAGAGCTCCAGGGAGGTGTCCTGTATGTGCAGTTGCTCATCCCACGAGGCAGGGCTAATGCACTCAACAGCACAACGGAGAACAGGGACTGGCGCCGTAGCCAGTAGAGCTATTGCCCCACAAAAACGGGACTGGAAGGCAGGAGTCCCCACTCTCAGCATTCTTTGCCGTTTTACAAATAGTCATGACAACTTGCCAGATCAAGTTATCTCTTAAGTTGTCCTTTACCTCATCTGATGAAAAAAAGCACAGATGGAAGCAGCCTGCACAGCTGGGGTCCTTGTAAAGGGTGGTCTAGCAAGGTTCCATATGAATGGAATTTTGGCATTTAGTCTTAATTTTGTTAAAAAGGTTAAAATTTTAAGAGTTCTGGATATGCTAGGATTCCTCTCTGGTTTTCCTTGTATATTCTGTATTTATTGCTATCACATCTTTTTCCTCCCAGCTGACCCTTACTGACTAGAACAGAGCCATGTGGCAAAGACTCCAACTGTGCAACCTGTGCGGTGAAGATGGTTCTTCTCAGTTACACCGTGACGGTGGGTGGTGGATGAGGCAGACGAAAGATGGGTGCGTTCTCGCAGCCAGGGCAGTTCTGTGTTGCTTCTGGAACTGGAGTCTTACCTTGCCTCTGCCATGAAACTTCCCCCTGGTCAGGCCGTGTGTACACTTGCACAGGGTCCCCCCCGAGATCTCCAGCTTGAAGCAGAAACAGAGGGCTGCAGGCGGGGAGAGTTTCCCAAGTGCTGTCATGGTGTGAAAGCTCCAGTTCAGTTCTCGATGCACTCAACTTCCCAGCTGGGTCCTGGCTCTCTGTGTGTAATAGTGAGAAAGTTCTCACATTGGAATTGTACGGTTAGTTGCCAAACCATAACCCCCTCATACCTTGGTGCAGCTGCCAACAGGTATGTAGTGAGAAAGATGGATACAAAGCTTTACTGTACAGTTAGGGCTTAGCTGGAGCCGAAAAACCACAAATAGCCCCTCAACACAGTAAATGGGGCTGGGGGCTTGGTGGAGAGAGCGTGATTTTTATGGCTGTGGTTTTATGTGCAGATATCAGCTGATTTAAGGTTTCAAAAGTAACTGTGCTCCTGTTGTTTTGAGGTGTTTGACTTGGTAACTTTTAAATGCAGTCCCAAGACAGAACACTTGGGATAATCAAGCCTAGACAATGCTTTTAAAGAGCACCTAGGTGTCCTCAAATTACTTTGTTAAAACCATTTTTCCCAATAGATGCCGCTGGCCTGCAAATTTACATTTTAGCAATTTAGCTGCAATACTGAAACATGAAATGTGAGATGAACAGGAACTTAGGTTCTTGAGCGTTAAGTATTACACTCAATTGGGAGAAAAAAAGCCAATTCTTCTAAAGGGGTGAAAAATGTTTGCCAGAAAAATTACAATTAAAATGTAACCTAATTCTCTGTGACTGGACTTAAGTGGTGCTTGGTAAGTTTTTCTGCTGCCCAAAGGACCCGATGTACTGTTTCTGTAATAACCCTGTGCAAGTCAGGAGATGGGTGCTGAGGAGCTGTTCCGCAGTGCACTGTACAGCTTTGTCACCGAGCTGCTCTGCTGACTGGTTCACTTCCCCGAGCGGGGCTGATGGGTCAGACCCACTCAGCAGTGCAAGGAAGATCTGAGCTGTCCCAGAACCAAGATCTGGAGCCCACTCTTAAGAGGAGCTGCTGCTTCTGAAGAGGCTCCCATGGCACTGGGAACATAATTTATGGCAGAAGGATGAGTGTGTAGTTGGATGTTTTTCCTAGCTCTACCTGACTTCATTCTCTTCCCCATCACGTACGTTTGATGTATTCCACAGGAGTCTAGTATCACACTTGGAAACACTGTTTGTGGGTGAAGAGAGAACAGTAAGTTGCTGCAAACACGGCCACGCTTCTAGCCTGAACTTAAGTCATTGTAGCTTGTTAGTGATGCTTTAGGAGCTTTTAATAAAATCGTAGGTCATGTTCCTGAAGGAACAGACAGGGCTAACCTGACTTTGAGGAAGGTGATAACATAGTGGATAAAACAGTGAAAACAAGTTTAGAAAGAGAAGTGGCTGGGGAAAAAAAAAATCCTCTCATATGAGTAAGTGCTACCATTCTGGAGATAGATAGCAGTCTAGGGACCTGCAGATTAGGAATAAGAGGAGAAAAAAAAAAAAAAAGCCCCACACCACAACAAAACAACTTTTTCCTTAGAGGTTAATTAAGACATCTTACCCTGTGCTCACTGCTTGCAACTTGTGTGTGCTGATCAGAATCATAGTATGATAAGGCAGACAGTCTAGTAATAGAAATTTTGTGAACCTTAAATAGTTTATTGTTCTGCTACAGCTTCCTGTGACTTCAGATAAAGTTCAACTGGTTTCCCTCACTGAAAAACCTTCTAAATAAATGTATTCCTGTACAAGCACCTGAACACCTTTTTGTGATGGGGCAGAACACACCATTAAAGATACCTACCAGGTATATTAAAGTCATTAAAGGTAACTTAAGGAGAACAAATAGCAGTGCTGTTCCCAAGCTTGGGACCGCATCACTGCTATGCAAGAAGGAGTTGGGGAAAATGAGGGAAAACGTCATCATTTGTTAGAAATGCACGAAGTAGCTCCGTACTCAGCATCTTTTCAACTCTTAAGGGGACAAGGCAGTAGAGTCCATCGCCAAATTAATACAGACAGCACAGAAGGGATCCATCCTTCTGCCCTTGCTTATTAAGATGACAAATCTCTCCCTGCATGCAGCCAGGCCTACTCACTAGGAAACTTCCCCTACAAATGCACTGTTAGGATCTCAGCTTTACACTAGCACATCCATAGGTTAAGAATTCTCTAACATTGCTAAGACAGCAGTTGGGAATAATGTTCACAGACCAGTTTATTGTGTTGTGTTTTTTTTTTTATTTGAGTAGAAGAGGTACATATTTATCAAGAGACAATTCCACTATTTTCCAGAAGCATGTGATAGACAGGAATTTTCTGGGCCATATGGTCTTTATGGTTTTGTCAGTTTTCTTCTTCCTGAGTTTCTTCTGTCATCAGAAAACTACCCTTGCAAGTTCAAACAGGACCTGTAGAATAGCAAACACATTGATATGAATTTTTATTCGATTTAATAATCCTTAAAACAGCTTACACTGTAAACAAGAAGCTGAAAAACAACTACAGCTGCAAGTTCAAAAGTTACTTGTGAAGAACTGAAGACTAATCCTCTTGTACAGTACATTAATAAGATAATCCTCATTCTCAAATTATGAAGTATATAAATTGCACTTGTAATTACATTTTCAGTGTTACAGTGGAAAAACTCCACCAACCTCTATGGTGATGAGTATGACTATCATCCACTCAAGGCGCAGAGTGTGCTTTTCATTCAGGTGATTTCGCATTAGGTCTGTCAGCTCCATGCAGTGCTGAAGCTTTTCGTTCATTACCTGCAAGAGATTCCAAATATATGGCAAATCTGGATTCCTGAAGTGGAATGAGATCACTCAATAAAGGAACACAATCCACAGAAGGGCTCACTGCACAGAGCTAGAAAGGTGCTAACACCTTTCTGCAAAAGAAGAGAACAGAAAGTCCTGTAAGGCAACATGCAGAAGCAACGGAAGTTTCAATATAAATGCGTGTGTTATTTCAACAGGTCACAAAACCAGAAATTTGGATATGCATCTGCAGGTATTAAACTGCTCCTGGGCAGTATCTACTCATGAAAACAGGCACAAGCTAAAGAAGATGCAGCTTACTGGAATGCCTTGATAGTAACTAAACATTTAAGGTTGCTGTACACCAGGAGAGGTTGTTTTCATGCTTCTTACTGTGGCTCAGCAGTAAGCATTACGCTGCCCTTCAATGAACTGACCTGAATGATCAGGTCAGTAAGAAGACTGCTTCGCACCTATGTTTAACTTGTTTTCTTGCACACATTTCAGAACAAGAATTAAATCTCCTCTTCTTACAACTATTTAAAGCCTAATTTAATAGCTCAGGAAATATGCAATCCATTCCCGTGTGGCAGGGTTGAGCAGGGTTGTTAACCTAAACTGGGTAAAAGACGCGAGCAGGTTACAAACACGTGGAAAAGGGGACAGCGTATAGAATCCTATTACTTTTTGTTCGGTTTCTGCAATTAAAACAGACACTGATGGAGCAGTCTGTAACCCTGCTGAGCCAAACACAGCTGATCGGAGTGTGGGAAATTCTCGTAACGGTAAGGCACCTACCTTAACTCTGCGATTAATGTTGAGAAACTGGCAAGTCTTGTCATAAAGCTCTTCCAGTTTTTCTCTATCCCAGTAGAAGTCAGGTGTTATTAGTAGGTCTGAACTCAGATTTATTCGGTGTCTAAAAAGAATAGGTACTACAATAGTTCAAACTTCCTTTTGGTAATTACAGGAGCAAATATTTACATAGTAGTTAAAAGAAACAGGAAAAATTTCCAGTAATTTTAAGTAAAACATGAGAAGAATCCCTTTCCATAATAAAAATACATTTGTAGTGATCGTTTTAGATTGGTCACATTGCCTGAAACTTTTCTGAACATGCTGTACCGTGTAACAGGTTTGAGCATAAGTGACTTTTGCCTTATGGCAATGCTGCCTCTTTAGCTTGTCACCTTGCTTAACTTCTGGTATCTGCAGAGGAGTCCTTAACTATGCCGGCAGCTCGCTGAAGCTGAAGTGGTGCACGAATTGAAGTTACTGGGGAGCCCTTAACAGCCTGTTTGTATCCGAGTGACTGGTACCGCATGCTGGGCAGGGGAGCGTAGCACACCTTTCGGAACCAGGCTACTGTCTCAACATTAAAGAGGCTGAGAGCTAACGTCTCCCACCTTCGACCTACTGCTCACATAAATATCTGGACACTCAGAACTCCATTATTCGCTACCGAACAGTCCTTCAAGTAGGGATTGCTTTTTTAATTTACCTCTTTCTTTACTGATTTTGAAGGGTTTTTTTTTGTCAAAGTGTGTGTAATGCTCTGTATTCTCAATGGCCAAATTTCACTTGAGAAGGTAAAAAACCCCATTAAATTCTTACAGCGTAGCAGTGGCTTCCAAGTCAGTCAAGGGAAGAACAGAACTCACAGAGAAGTTTGACTAACTCTAGGCCATAGTTAACAGTTCTACTACCCCTGGTAGCCTTTGCATCCTGTAGCATCTACTGCAACTACTGGTTATGAGACATGCATTGCTGGACCCAGGGAGGGAAAAGGGTGGGGAATTTGGCCATTTACAATATGCTGCTTAACGCTCGTCTGTAGTAGAGTTGCTGTAGTGCAACTGGTGAGCCAGTGAGTCCTCTGACTAACATAAACAGCCCACAGAGTCTCCAGCCAAAACAAGGTTGAAGGAATTCCCCCGCCCCACCCTGCTGTGTTTGGTGTGTATTCTGGTCTTTGCATCGGGCACAACTTAAAAATTAAGTTCTGTGTAACACAATGTCCTGAGTGCAGCCAAAAAAGTTACCTTAATGCGAAGAGTTCTCCGATTTTCTGCATCACATCAGCATGGGACAGTTTTACCTTCCTTCGTGACTTTAGTATCTGCAAAGTAACAAGTTTTTCACTGCTTGATCAAGTGGCATGTACTAGTGGTTGAGAAGTGTGGAGTTTTACAGCCTAAAGTACGTACATAGAGAGTTAAAATCTGAATGCATATTATAATTATTAACATTTAAGTTTCATTTGCTTAGTGCCTTGCTTATCTAGCTTTCTAAGAGTATCACCACGCAACTGTTCATCCAGGTTTTTCAATAAATCACCGCGTACATCATCAGTATCTATACAAAATCCTGGAGCATTTGCTATGAATGATTTCCTGAACAAGAAATCATTTGTTTTTTCTTCCTACTATTGTTATTTTTAAGTCATGACAGCGTTCTTTCACCTTGCCACTATGTAGCCTTTTTATAGACATTTTCCTTAAAACAATGTATTACTATTTATTTCCTTCATAAAAAAAAGAATTAAAATTATGTTTTCTCTTTTGAATCCTGCGCATCTCATTTTTATATGCAGTATCATATGGGCTTTGTACTTTAAGTCTCATGAAAAACTGGGGTTTAAGTAATCCACTCCAACTCTTCATTACATTCAAGTTAAAAAGCACATTACTTTCAGCCCAAGCTGCCACACACCACGTTTTCAAATGCTGCTTGTCCTGTTACACATTCAACAGTGGCAGGTGAGACCTGCACAACACGGGAAACATTATTGCGACGCAGAACCCCACTCCCGACCCTTTAAAGACTGATGATTTCTTGTCCCACCACTTTGCAGGTGTTCTGAGCTTCTCTGCATTGATGGCTTTACTATCGAATGTGTTAAGCATTCAACTGCTTTTTCCATAGCCTCAGCTGTACCTGGACTGATCTTTTACAAAGCACAGGAGAAAAGGAGGGGAGAGGTACAAACGAGACCTCACCTCAGGAATTGACTGGATAGATTCCACGAAGTTATCCAATAATGATTCCCAAATAGCCAGCTTTACTGCAACACAGAGGTGACAAAGCAGAACACTGTGAAAGTTATAGATGCTTTCAAGTAATCAGAACCTTAAATCTGCCAACACGCTGCTTCGAGACGCGTTTGATGCATTCCAACACCATTTGCAGCAAGTTACCGTTAGCATTCTGCAATCCATGCTCGCACCCCTGCGGACAGGTCCGGGCTGGGCACTGACCCAGCTCTGCCTGCAGAGCCCCCCCGAGCGCAGCTCTCCTCTCCAGACCGATCAGTTCGGACCCCGGAGCGTTCTCGGGTCAGCTCAGACGCTGCATGTTTAAGCGCTGCGCCGTACGCACGAAGCCTCTAACAACTACACGCCACGGAGGCTGGAGATAGCGAGCCGCGCTGGAGTCAGCCTGACTTCACGTGGTGCCACTCAAGGGCCTCCGCCGCGTTTCTGTGTCCTGCAGAACCCTCATTCTCCACCTGCCCGGTATTTGATGCAGCATGCTCAAACCACGGAGAACTGGCTTGTATAGACACACCGCCTGTGCTTGCTGAAGCTAAATTCAACCTTAAGCAAGCTCCCACTCTGTTTTTAGGTGAAAACACTGTTCACTGAAGATGTAACTTCTCGTCTATGGAAGCTGTTCAGCACAGGCAATGGCAACACAAATTCTACTGTGCCTCAGCTTGAGCCTGGAAAGATGTTTCTACAGGAAGATGATGTAACTCGGGCCTTTGTTCTTTAGCCCGCAGATTCCCAGACAAGAATGAAGTAGCAAAAGATCAAAAGTTAACCCTATTCACTCACAAAAATTAATCAGGGAAGATTTAATTGTCAAAATGAACTGTTTCGTGGTAGTAATCGATAGTATCGTCTAGTCAGGACACTGACAGTAAATCCAACTCCGAGCATTTTTCACACCCAGCTTTTCAGTACAGAGGCCTAATCCAAGTCAGTGACTTAAATGACATTTAATTTAGCCCCTGAAAAAAAGCCAATGGGCATTCAGCTATCACCAGTTATTTGACAGAGGTTGGTTTCTGCTATGTCATAAATTTGATTTGCAGTATTACTTGCATCCTTTATTTTTATTGAACATTATTGAACTGTTTTCCTTTATGATGTGCACGTCTCTAACATAAATTGGTAGCAATTATCTCCTGGGAATAAATCGCTTGCTCTATTGTATGTGGCACTGCTCCTCCATGCAGTAGCTTTATATAGAGAATGAAAGGCTTTTTTTCTTCAATACATCTTCCTTCAGCAGTCAAGAACCACCTAGTTATGCTGTATGGCTCGATCAAATGATGTACACTTCAAAAACATGCATTCTGTTTCTTGATGTCTCTCCCGTTTAAAGGTGCACTTCCCAAATACGACAGGAATCCTGTAACTGACCCTAAAAGCAGTAGGGGTAGACAGACCAGATTTCCTTTAAAGATCTCTTCTTGAGGATGGCCTTACTGCTGCTAGCTTCTACTCCCACTTCCTACCTCATCTGAGGTCTGAAGCAGCAAAGAGGTGCATTTCTCAAGCAGCAGCACCACTGCTGAGCCTGACTTCTTCCCAGAGCCTCTCGCTGTCTCCTGCCGTGGCTAATAAGCCTGGAAAACATTATCTGTGACTCTGGTCCACACCTTTGATGCTGGGAGCCACTGCTCTACGTTACTCCTTTAGCTGGCACGTAGCTTCTTCTGTTAGAGGAAACGATGTCAGGATGAATTACCCAAGACTACTGACAGGTTTCTAATACTGGACTCTACACTCGCTGCTATCCTAGAATAGCTCTCAAGGGTGGGGCACAGGATGCTCAGTAGAATGTGTATCTTTTGCAAAGTACATTTCTTAATGTGCTTTGTTCATCTTTTAAGATCGACTGAGATAATTCCAATTTACACAAAACAAGGTAAAAGCTTTGAAAAGTAATCCCCCCCACTGAAGCACAACCAATCTTCACAGAGTTTGCCTAAACTGGACACCGAGTCTTCTCCAACCTGTCACTGTACAAGTCCCACTTATAATATGACATTTCACAAAATCTGTAGCATAGGCTGATATAAGAACAACAGTCACTTACCAGAAAGACAAAGGGCATTCGAAAAGGCAAATTTCTGCAGAATGACTTCATCACTATCCAGCTCAGAATTTAACAAGATTTCTCCTTTATGAAGCTTGGTCTGACCTCTGTTAAAACAAGAGTGAAGCATCTTCATTGACTATGCCACCAGCAAAGGAACATTTAAAGAACATTCAACAGTGCAAGAAAGGTTGGTTGGTTGTGTACATAAACCACACCGTACCTATTTGGATAACATCCCCATCCTTGCATTTTTTTCATGTTCAACCTGATAATAATCAAAACAAATCACTGAAAGTTAAGTTACTCAGTCTAGGACTAATACTATGACCAAATTTTCTAGGTTTAAATGAAACTGCTGCAAGCTATGATAGTAACTACAGCATTACTACACACACAGATAATTCAGAGTAAGCAGGATGCTGGCCTCTCTCCTGCTTTCTACCTCCTGTATTACCTTTCTGTTTCTGTTTTCCTTTTCTTCTGTCAACTTTTACCAACATCACTCCCTCCCTGCTATGATGTTACTTTCCCTCAAACCTCCATTGGATAGTGGGCCAGAAGCAAAGAAAAGGTGAGAGTCTTTCATTTTATCCTATCAATCTCATTATGAAACTTGCATAAACACAATGGAGTATGTCAGGAATCACAAATTACACCACTGGATAGTGCATGCAGTTTTCAAATGGCCAGGAAAAACCAAAAACCTGTCCTCTTATCAGGTTACCTTAAATAAGCTCAACCTCATTAGCTCAGCTCCTAGTGTTACAGTGTCCTGCCTAGGAGCTGGTTTTTGGTGCTGTTGGAAAATTACAGATAATTTATACAATCATTTACATTGAGAAATATTTCCATAGAGATCATTTGCTCCCCATGATGAAAAAACATTATTTAACAAGGCAAGATGACTTGCCAGGTTAATCATTCCTCAGTACTGAGGTTACAACTTTCCTAGGAAGTGAAGTATGTGCAGAATTACATCTTTGTGTACAAACCTAGAAGGCACTAAGGAAAGCTTATGCAGAGAATCCTCTTTAAAATCAGACTCACCTCAATAATGCATATTTGTTTTTTTTTTTTTTTCCTGTGAGGTACAATTTCTGTTTGGGATTGATGAAGAACATGTTCAGTCGCATGGGCCTGGAGCATCATAATTTATAAAACCTAGTGCATCACAATTTATAAAATCTAGTGCATAACCAAGTCACAAAGGCTACTACTTGCAAGTTTTGCAATACAGTAACATTTGTCCAATTGTCCTTTTAGATTTACTGTTTTCTCCTTTCCTTACTTTACTTGTAAGGACAGGTATATTTTTACCTGTTGCTTTTGCGTGAATTTGTTTTAGGCATCTATCAGCTTTTATAAAAAGACTGCCTGAAAATACTTACTCTCCTATTCTATAGTTGATCTCTTCATTCTCCCAGTGGACTAGTGCAACTTCATACGGCTGAATTTCATGCTGTTCTAGCATTCGCATGATATTCTTCATCTAAGAAAAAAGACAATTGCACGCACAGGAACAGTTACGCCGCAGTACGCTATCGCTCTACAAAGACCTCGCATATAATAGGTCGATGAACAC